ATTACAGGCGTGAGACACCGCGCCCGGTCAACGTACTCTTTTAATACCATCCAGCAATTGCATTTCTTAGTATTTACCTAAACAAGTTGAAAATGTATGTCCTCACAAAAACCTGCAAATAGATGTTTATGACAGCTTTAATTATGATTGACAGAACTTTAAGGCAACCAAGCTGTCCTTCAACAAGTGAATGGATAAATTAACTCAGATATATCCAAAAAATGGAACAGTATTCCATGCTAAAGAAAAATGAGTTACCATGTTGTAAAAAGACATGGAGGAAACTTAAATATGTATTACTAAGTGAAAAAACATAGCCTGTAAAGGCTATATACATGTTGTACTGTATGATTCCAACTACATGACATTCTGGAAAAGGAAAAACTATGAAGACAGTAAAAAATTAGTAATTTCCAGGGTTTGGGAGGAGGAAGAGATGAATAGGTACAAAACAGGATTTTTAGAGCAGCGAAACCATTCTGTACAACCTTATACATTTGTAAAAACCCATAAAATGTATAACACCAAAGCGAACTCGAATGTAAACTTTGGATTTTAGATGATAATGAGGAGTCAGTGTAGGTTCATTGATTGTCACAAATATACCACTCTGGTGTGGCATGGCGATAAAGGGGGATGCTGTCATATTTGGGGGTAAAGAGCATACAAAAACTCTCTGTACTTTCCACTCAGTTCCTTGGTGAACCTAAAACTGCTCTAAAAAATAAAAAGTTCATTTAAGAAAAAGTTTTCTGGGCCAGGTGCAGTGGCTCATGTCTGTAATCTCAGCACTTTGGGAAGCCGAGGTGGGAGGATCATTTGCGGTCAAGAGTTCAAAACCAGCCTGGCCAACATGATGAAACCCCCTCTCTATTAAAAATACAAAAAAATTATCCGTGTGTTATCCCAGCTGCTCAGGAGGCTGAGGCAGGAGAATCGCTTGAAACCAGAGGTGGAGACTGCAGTGAAACGAGACCATGCCACTGCACTCCAGCCCGGGCGACAGAGCAAGACTCTGTCTCAAAAAAAAAAAAAAAAAAGAATTTTCTGAATGCTAAACCCTTAAATGGGAAAGCATACTGTACCCTATTCCAAGGCAAACTGAGCTTGAGAAATCAAGGCATTTTCAGTTCTTACTCTGGGAGACAATCTAGACCCTTTAGAGGTAGTGTCTTCCTTGTGGGTTAATGTAATTCAGAAGCTAATTAAGTCCCTACTGTCCATCCTTGTGGCCACTAATCTTATGTGGCTATAGAATATTTGAAATATGGCTAGTATGAATTGAGATGTGGTGTAACTGTAATGTACACTGGGTTTTGAAGGCTTAGTAAGAAAAGGAATGTAAAATACCTCATTAATATATTTTTATATTAATTACATATCAGAATAACATTTTGAGTTTACAGGATTAAATATAGCCAATTGAACAAAATACGTAATTACAATTAATTAATTGATCTCACTTTTTTTGGCAGGGGGATGGAGTCTCACTCTCTTGCCCAGGCTGGAGTGCAGTGGCACGATCTCAGCTCACTGCAACATCTGCCTCCCAGGTTCAAGCGACTCTTGTGCCTCAGCCTTCCAAGTAGCTGGGATTACAGGTGCCCACCACCTCATCTGGCTAATTTTTGTATTTTAGTAGAGATGGGGTTTTGCCATGTTGACCAGGCTGGTCTGGAACTCCTGACCTCAAGTGATCTGCCCCGCTTGGCCTCCCAAAGTGCTGGGATTACAGGTGTGAGTCTTTGCACCTGGCCTGATCTCACCTCTTTAAAAACTATTTTTTTTTTATTTTTAAGGTGGAGTCGCTCTCTGTCTCCCAGGCTGGAGTGCAGTGGTGTGATCTTGGCTCACACAACCTCCGCCTCCCAGGTTCAAGTGATTCTCCTGCCTCAGCCTCTCGAGTAGCTGGGACTACAGGTGCATGCCACCAGGCCAGGCTAATTTTTTGTATTTTTAGTAGAGATAGGGTTTCCCCATGTTAGCCAGGATATCCTGACCTCGTGATCTGCCCGCCTCAGGCTCCCAAAGTGCTGGGATTACAAGGATGAGCCATGGCACCCGGCCAATTTAAAAAACTTTTTAGGCTGCTCCGAAGGTAGTGAGTTATCTCAATTGATTGCTCACAGTCAGTTACAGATAGAACTCCTTGTTCTACTCTTTCCCCCCTTCTCACTACTGCACTTGACTAGTCTTAAAAAATTAAAAAAAAATTTAAAAATTTTTAAAAACCTTTTTAAATGTGGCAACTAGAAAATGTTAAATTATAGATGTAGTGCATATTATATTCTATTGGATGGTGCTGTTCTATGCAGAAAATTCCTGCTGATCGCTTGGCAAGAGCAATTCACTAACAAACGGGCAGCTAAAAATGTGTTACTACAAATAAAAAGGTGTCACTAACCTTGGCTGAATGAAGGTTCTGGAGGATAACCATTGTTTGGTACCCTACTCACGTTTTGGAAGAGCAATATTGCACTCAGGGGAATCTTCCTGGACCCTTTCCATCAAGTTATTTAGAAGAAATGTAATTTTTTTTATATTCTAGTGACAACTACAGTGTAGTTGCCCAGATAATAAAATTGGGGTTATAGGCAGAGTATGTATTTAATCCATGCAAGTATGGATGTTTTATGAAGGGATAAAAACCTCTGGAAGTTAGTTAAAAAAAAAAAATCTGGGGCTGGGCGTGGTGGCTCACGCCTGTAATCCAAGCACTTTGGAGGCCAAGGTGGGCGGATCACCTGAGGTCGGGAGTTCAAGACCAGCCTGACCAACATGGTGAAACCCCATCTTAAAAAAAAAAGAAAAATCTGGAAACTACTTATAAATATATTGGGGAATATCTACATCTAATGGGAAATGAAATTGTAACTTAAATATACTGTAATCTATAAATGCTGTGGCTTTTACTAGCTGATTTTTCAGAACCTAGACAACATTATAGAAATATAAATCTAGGCCGGTTGTGGTTGCAGTGAGTGGAGATTGCACCACTGCACACCAGCCTGGGCCACAGAGTGAGACTTTGTGTCAAAAAAAATCATATATATATATCTGTATATAGATAGCTATATCTATACAACTTTAAAAAACTATGATGATCCTTTTATCATGGGGGTAGACTGTATCTTCTAAATTCTCATAGAGCTTTTCAAATGTTGAACTATATAATTATATAAGAATTAATAAAATATGATAGCATATGTATTAGTAATAAGATGCTATTTATCCAAACACTTATAATAAAGAAATTGGATTGCAAAAGAAAGGTGTTTGGGATGAAATGTAAGTAGAGACGCTAGTGCCAAGAAAAACAAAGACTTTAAACACAGTTTTCATTTCTTTTTTTTTGGAGATGGAGTCTCATTCTGTTGCCCAGGCTGAAGTGCAGTGGTGCCGTCTCAGCTCACTGCCACCTCCACCTCCCAGGGCCAAGGGATCCTCCCATCCCAGCCTTCCAAATAGGTGAGATTACAGGCGCACACTACCAGCTAATTTTTGTATTTTCAGTAGAGACAGGTTTCTCCACCAGGCTGGTCTTCTGACTTCAGGTGATCTGCCCACTCGACCTCCCAAAGTGCTGGGATTACAGGCATGAGCCAGTGCACCCAGCCTGTTTTTTTCTTTCATGTTGCTGCCTAGTGAAGGTCTATAAAATAGAGTTAACTGGGGCAGGATGATTTTGAACTAGGTTGACAATACTCTTAAAAGGTCAGTGTGAAAATCTTTGGCCTCTGTCTTCATTCTTGACAAAGCTCCTTTCCAGTCATTTCAATGGCCATATAGGGCTAAGGAAACAGAACAGTCATCAGAAGAACTCCTAGAACCAATAGTTAGTAAATAAACTCAAGGAAAAAGTAAATTTATACAAATTTCAAGGAATAATTATTTGGTAAGCCAGGTAGAAAGATGGACCTTTTATTTATTTATTTTATTTACTTTTTTTGAGACCAAGTCTTGCTCTGTTGCCTAGGCTGGAGTGCAATGACACGATCTTGGCTCACTGCAACCTCCACTTCCTGGGTTCAAGTGGTTCTCCTGCCTCAGCCCCCCAAGTAGCTGAGATTACAGGTGTGTGCCACCACATGTGGCTAATTTTTTATAATTTTGATTAAGATAGTGTTTCACCATGTTGGCCAGGCTGGTCTTGAACTCTTGACTTCAAGTGATTAGCCCGCCTTGGCCTTCCAATGTGCTGGAATTACAGGCATGAGCCACTTTGCCCAGCCTAAGATGGGTCCTTTAAAAATGGAAATTAAGGGCCGGGCGCGGTGGCTCAAGCCTGTAATCCCAGCACTTTGGGAGGCCGAGGCGGGTGGATCACGAGGTCATGAGATCGAGACCATCCTGGTCAACATGGTGAAACCCCGTCTCTACTAAATATACAAAAAATTAGCTGGGCATGGTGGCGCGTGCCTGTAGTCCCAGCTGCTCAGGAGGCTGAGGCAGGAGAATTGCCTGAACCCAGGAGGCGGAGGTTGCGGTGAGCTGAGATCGCGCCATTGCACTCCAGCCTGGGTAACAAGAGCGAAACTCCGTCTCAAAAAAACAAAAAAAAAAAAAAAAAAAAAAAAAAAAAAAAAGGAAATTAATAGATTCCCCAACAGTGAAATTGAATGCCAGAACACAGAAGAGTAATACCTTCACTATACTCAAGGAAAGAAACTGAGGCAAAAATATTTTATTCATGCAAATGGCCCTTCTAACATAAAGGTTACAGACAAACACTTTTAAGCTAGCAAAAACCCACAGAGTATTGACTATATAAACAATACTTTTGAGGAAACTACCAGCAAGCTACAGCCAGCCAAGAGAAAATGGGCAAACTTTAGCCACAGGACTAAAGTTTGAGACTAAAGAATCGAATATTTTTAACCCAGACCTAAAACAAACAAAAATAAAGTTAGAATTAAGAAAAAATAAAGGTGAGAATGAGGATGGCAGAATGCTACATACTATGACAATGTAGGAAAATTTGAACTGCCAAAAAAAATGGGAGAAAGGAGAGGTAATTTGGAAGTAGCATAAGTTTTGAAAGCTTCATCTGTAATTGCTCAGAATCTAAATGTATCTTTAAGGGTGACAAGTCCAGTAGAAGGATAAATGTATTTAATGGCACAAAGGTAAGCCCTGAGTCAGATAGTGTTATTTACTAAAACTGAATGGAGAAAGAGAAGGAGGTGAGACAGGAAGAAGAGATACAAATTCATGTTGCACATGGCAGGGAAGCAACAAATACTGCCTAAGAGACAGACACTTTACCAAAGAAGACATACATGAGGCCAACAAATATATGAAAAAATGCTCATCATTACTGGTCATTAGAGAAATGCAAATTAAAACTACACTGAGATACCACCTCACGCCAGTTAGAATGGCGATCATTAAAAAATCTGGAGACAACAGATGCTGGAGAGGATGTGGAGAAATAGGAACACTTTTGCACTGTTGGTGGGAGTGTAAACTAGTTCAATCATTGTGGAAGACAGTGTGGCGATTCCTCAAGGACCTAGACATAGAAATTCCATTTGACCCAGCAATCCCATTACTGGGTATATATCCAAAGGATTATAAATCATTCTACTATAAGGACACATGCACATGAATGTTCATTGCAGCACTGTGTACAATAGCAAAGACCTGGAACCAACCCAAATGCCCATCGATGATAGACTGGACAGGGAAAATGTGACACATATACACCATGGAATATTATGCAGCCATAAAAAACAATGAGTTCGTGTCCTTTGTAGGGACGTGGATGAACCTGGAAACTGACACAAGAACAGAAAATCAAACACCACATGTTCTCACTCATAGGCAGGTGTTGAACAATAAGAACACATGGACACAGGGAGGGGAGCATCACACACTGGGGTCTGTCGGGGGAAACAGGGGAGGGACAGTAGGGGGTGGGGAGTTGGGGAGAGATAGCACGGGGAGAAATGCCAGATATAGGTGATGGGGAGGAAGGCAGCAAATCACACTGCCATGTGTGTACCTATGCAACAATCTTGCATGTTCTTCACATGTACCCCAAAACCTAAAATGCAATTAAAAATAATAATAATTAAAAAAAAACAACAAATATTGCCTAAGAGGAAATATAATATGTAAAGGTGTCATTATAAAAATAACCATGAGAAAAATAAAACAGAGCATTTAAATAGCAGAAGAATGACAGAAACAACAGCAAAAAAAGCAAAATCAAACTTCTTCATTATTAACTACAACAGACAGACAAAAACATAAAATGTGAATTACAGAATAATCAATAATTATACAGCACATACGTATTAAGCACTACTCATGTCAGGAAATACATTACTAGCATTCCTTTCTGATCATAGTCTCTTCCCCTATACAGATAGCCACTATCCTGACTTTTATAGTATTATGTGCTTTTTATTTGTTTATAGTTTTATAATCTATTTATGCATTTCAAGTTTTGCCTATTTTTGGACCTTATATAATAAAATCATACTGTATTTATTCTTTTATATGTTATTTGTTTTATCTAAAAATTTGTTTCAAGATTTATTCACTATATTGCATGTATCTTTAGTTCCTTTTCTTGGAAGGATAGTATTCTGTCGTTTGAATATAACAACAATTTACAAGACTATACTTTTTTAAAAAAATTTATTTATTTTACTTTAGGTGCATACTATATCTGGCATTTCTCCCCAAGTTATCCTTCCCCAGCCTCCCTTCCCTCCCCACCTCCCACTGTCTCTCCCCTCCCCCGCCAAATGCCCCCAGTGTGTGATGCTCCTCCCCCTGAATCCATGTGTTCTAGTTGTTCAACACCCACCTATGAGTGAGAACATACAATGTTTGGATTTCTGTTCTTGTGTCAGTTTGCTGAGAATGATGATTTTCAGATTCATCCAAGTCCCTACAAAGGACACAAACTCATCATTTTTTATGGCTGGGTAGTATTCCATGGTGTATATGTACCACATTTTCTTTGTCCAGTCTATCATTGATGGGCATTTGGGTTGGTTCCAGGTCTTTGCTATTGTACACAGGGCTGCAATGAACATATGTGTGCATGTGTCTTTATGGTAGAACAATTTATAGTTCTTTGGGTATATACCCAGTAATGGGATTGCTGGGTCAAATGGAATTTCTATTTCTAGATCCTTGAGAAATTGCCACACTGTCTTCCACATTGGTTGAACTAATTTACACTCCCACCAACTGTGTAAGAGTGTTTCTATTTCTCCACATCCTCTCCAGCATCTTTTGTCTCCAGATTTTTTAATGCTCACCATTCTAACTGGCGTGAGGTGGTATCTCAATGTAGTTTTGATTTGCATTTCTCTGATGACCAGGGATGATGAGCATTTTTTCACGTTGGTTGGCCTCATATATGTCTTCTTTTGAAAAGTGTCTGTTCATATCCTTTCTCCACTTTTGAATGGGGTTGTTTGTTTTTTTCGTGTATATCTGTTTTAGTTCTTTGCAGATTCTGGATATTAGCCCTTTGTCAGATGGATAGATTGCAAACATTTTTTCCCATTCTGTTGGTTGCTGATTCATTCTAATGATGGTTCCTTTTTCTGTACAGAAGCTCTAGAGTTTAATGAGATCCCATTTGTCTATCTTGGCTTTTATTGCCGTTGCTTTTGGTGTTTTAGTTATGAAGTCCTTGCCTATGCCTATGTCCTGGATGGTTTTGCCTATGTTTTCTTCTAGTGTTTTTATAGTGTTGGGTTTTATGTTTAAATCTTTGATCCATCTGGAGTTAATTTTAGTGTAAGGTGATAGGTATGGGTCCACTTTCTGCTTTCTGCATATGGTAGCCAGTTTTCCCAACACCATTTGTTAAACATGGAGTCCTTTCCCCATTGCTTGTTTTTGCTGGGTTTGTCAAAGATCAGATGGTTGTAGATATGTAGTGTTTCTTCTGGGGCCTCTGTTTTGTTCCATTGGTCTATGTGTCTGTTTTGGCACCAGTACCATGCTGTTTTGATTACTGTAGCCGTGTAGTATAGTTTGAAGTCTGACAGTGTGATCCCTCTGGCTTTGTTCTTTTTGCTTAGGATTGTCTTGGCTATGCAGGGTCTTTTGTGATTCCATATGAAGTTTAAAGTGGTTTTTTCCAGTTCTGCAAACAAGGTCATTGGTAGCTTGATGGGGATAACATTGAATCTATAGATTACTTTGGGCAGTATGGCCATTTTCACAATATTGATTCTTCCTAACCATGAACATGGAATGTTTCTCCATTTGTTTGTGTCCTCTCTTATTTCGTTGAGCAGTGGTTTGTAGTTTTCCTTGAAGAGGTCCTTTACATCCTTTGTTAGTTGTATTCCTAGGTATTTGATTCTCTTTGTAGCAATTGTGAATGGGAGTTCGCTCTTGATTTGGCTCTCTGTTTGTCTGTTACTAGTATATAGGAATGCTTGTGATTTCTGCACATTGATTTTGTATCCTGAGACTTTGCTGAAGTTGCTTATCAGTTTGAGAAGATTTTGGGCTGAGACGATGGGGTCTTCTATACAATCATGTCATCTGCAAATAGAGACAGTTTCACTTCCTCCTTTCCTAATTGAATATGCTTTATTTCTTTTTCTTGCCTGATTGCTCTGGCTAGAACTTCCAGTACTATATTGAATAGGAGTGGTGAGAGAGGGCATCCTTGTGTAGTGCCTGATTTCAAAGGGAATTCTTCCAGCTTTTGCCCATTCAGTATGATATTGGCTGTAGGTTTGTCATATATAGCATTTATCATTTTATGATACGTTCCGTCAATACCCAGTTTATTGAGAGTTTTTGGCATAAAGTGCTGTTGAATTTTATCAAAGGACTTCTCTGCATCTATTAAGATAATAATGTGGTTTTTGTCTTTGGTTCCGTTTATGTGATGGATTATATTTATGGATTTGCATATGTTGAACCAGCCTTGCATCCCCGAGATGAAGCCTACTTGGTCGTGATGGATAAGCTTCTTGATGTGCTGTTGCAATGGGTTTGCCAGTATTTTATTGAAGATTTTTGTGTCAATGCTCCTCATGGATATTGGCCTGAAGTTTTCTTTTTTAGTTGAGCCTCTGCCTGATTTTGGTGTTGTACTGGCCCAAGCATAGAAAGTCAATACCAAGACAAAAGTATGCCAAATTGCAGGGTCTTTATTGCCAGCGGCCATGGAGGACTCACGTCTCTCCAACCCGTGGCCCCAAAAGGATGGTGTCAAGATCTTTTATACCCGTAAAATCACCTCGGGAGTGACGGTGAGGGGCAGGGGTGGGGGTGAGGGGCTTCAGACATTCTGAGGGCTAGTGGATTCTGTAAATCACCTCCTGGGCGGAGATGAGGGTGAGGGGCTCCGGACTCTCCGAAGGCCAGGGGACTTTTTGACATTCTGATTGTTACTTAAGTGGTTCACAAAAGTCAAGATTAGCATTTGTTTACACATTGTCTGGGTAGGGTGGAAATTAGTCCTTAATTACTTATTTACATTTGGGTTATAGAGAGCAGTTTCAACAGAAAGCCGAGGTATGGTTGAGGTATGCAGTTTTATGGGGCTTTTACCATGTCACATTGGTATCAGGATGATGTTGGTCTCATGAAATGAGTTAGAGGGGATTCCCTCTTTTTGTATTGTTTCATACAGTTTCAGAAGGAGTGGAACCAGCTCCTCTTTGTATGTCTGGTAGAATTCGGCTGTGAACCCATCTGGACCTGGACTTTTTTTGGTTGGTAGGCTATTGATTGCTACCTCTACTTCAGCCCTTGTTATTGGTCTATTCAGGGGTTTCAACTTCCTCCTGGTTTAGTCTTGGCAGAGTACAAGTATCTAGGAATTTATCCATTTCTTCCTGGTTTACAGGTTTATGTGAGTAGAGCTGTTCGTAGTAATCTCTGATGGTAGTTTGTATTTCTGTGGGATCAGTGGTGATATCCCCTTTATCGTTTTTTATTGCATCTATTTGATTCTTCTCCCTTTTCTTTTTTATTAATCTGGCTAGTGGTCTATTTTGTTGATCTTTTCAAAAAACC